CCTAAGTTTTCTCTAACATGGAAAAAATGCCATATAGTTTTTTTTGGTTTATATGAGACAGGGTTTCTCTGTGGCTTTGAAGGCTGTCCTGGAACTAGCTCTTGTAGACTAAGCTGATCTGAAACTCACAAAGATCCTCCTGCCTCTGCCTCCTGAGTGCTGGGATTAAAGACTTGTGCACCACCGCCCAGCATAAATTTCTATTTTAAAAATTAATATGAATCCCACTGAGTGTTTTCCTTTTTTGATGTCAAAAGGCTCCTTTTTCTGCAATTCACTTTTTAATCCAGGCCTTGGTTTTCTCATTTGCAAAGGGATGCAGGTCCTCTTAGGGCTATTCTCAAAGATTATTGTAATGATCCAAGTAAGATACCATGTTTAGGACAGAGGATGTGACTCGGTGGTGGAGCAACTGTCTAGAATGCAGAGAGCCCTAGGTTTGATCTCTAGCACTGCCAAATAATAATAGTAACACTAACAATAATAATAAAGATAGCAAGGTTAGAACACTACTTAGAAGTTAAAGTGAACACATTCTGTCTGTGGGTATACCACTTGTCTCCACCATAAGTCTAGATCCTCAAAACCCATACACTGGAAGCAAGTGGCTCCTGGGAAGGCAATTGTCATGTCCTGAATCTATCTCCAGGAGAGCTCAGTCACCAAGCTTAAGTGGCTTGACAGCAGTGGGGTAGGCTAGCATTGCAGACGATCACCAAGTCTTGTATCAGGGATGTGATAATGCTTTCAGTCAGTCCTTCAGTACTCTCAAATTGTCCAGGACAAAAAGTCACACATCTAAACAAAGAGAAGTCAGGCCCTGCCACAGCCAGACCCAGAGTCTTGTAACCAGGATGCTTCCTATTTTTCATCCCCTTCCACTAGTTCTCTCAGGACAAGTAAGTCTGGATGTGGAACATCTGTGCTTGAAGCGGCATACTCAGCATCACATCCGTGGTCCTGCTCCTTTATAGAGGATGAGGCCAAGCATCTGGAGAGGCACATGCTATCATGAGGGCAAAGAACTACCTCAGGGGCACACAGCTTATCCATGGCAAAGCCTAGACCAGATCCAGTGCTGTGACCACCCCCCAAGCTGTGGAGTTCTCTCAAACAGCAGCTGTCACACACAGTAATCCTGTGCCTGCCACATGCCAGGCCTGAAAGATACCAGGTCCTGACCCTCAGGGAACCTCCATTCTAAAGGAGGGGCAGTAAAAGAATGCAATCAACAGAGTGTCCCATAATAAAGTGTATCAGTGACACGGTGCTTATATCAAAGACCTTGGACAGAGGACAGGCAGGAAGGGAGCTCCTGGTTTATCTGTGTGGTCTGGAAAGCCCTGCTGGAGGGAGTGACATTTCTGTGAGACCTGAGGTGGTGAAAGTCAAGGAAAGGAAATGTGAATGGCCTCCCTATGACAAGGGTATGGGGCAGGAGGGAGGCGGTTTGGACAGAGCAGGTAGGATTTCAGTGTGTCTCGTGGCCTTGATGCACAATCCAGAGAGCAATGCAAGTGTCCTGTACATGACCTAATTTTTGTATAGTCTGGAACCTCATACATGTGAGGACCAGATTCATGTTTCTATCAGATTCTGTGGACAGTCATGTGGCGTGGGGCTAAGGAGCCAGAAAGGTTTGGGTCAGAGAGATAGGCTAAAGGTCTCTAGAGAAGGCAGTGTGGGGGCTGGCAGGGTGGGGTGGAGGGCTGGAGATCCAAAGGGGCAGCTGAAAGAGATTTGCTATCTGTTGTGGAAATGGACTAGCTGGTGGGTGATTGACTATGGGCAAAGCGGGGGCCAAGGAAGACAAGGTTACAGCAAAGTTGATTCATCCCCAGTTTGAGTGACACTAGTTCCCTGTGACAAGGGCACTCTCCAGAGCTACAGCCAACTCCAACCTTCTGTGTAGTAATACCATCTGGGGTCAGTAAGAGACATTGCCCTCATGTTCAGCAGGTGGAGAAACGGAGGCACACACGGGCCAAGCCCAGTTCTATAGAGTACAAACAATATCCCTAGACAAAGATCTAGGGCTTGAACTTCAGGCCAGCACTTGAACACCAGAGCCATGAAGCCAAAAGTGTGCCAACCATTTTTATTATGTGTCATGCAGTGTGCCCTTGAGCAAGTCCAAGACCCCTTGGAGCCCCAGTGTCCTCATCAGTGTGATGGCACGGCAGTAGGGACTGCCTGGTGGTATTGATATGAGGACTGAATGGGAAGCAGACCCTTGACAAAAGCTCTTCCGCTTCTCCATGGGCACAGCTCAGGAACGTGTCTCGCTCCTATGTCTGCTCATGTGGACACTACCTGTTCACGTGTGTGGCCCAGACAAACAAGCTGTCTATGTTGCCACATCACAGTGACAAGCAGACGCTGTCTGGGTTTCCTGGAAGGACAGTAGCTCACTTGATCGTGGGGCTTCTACACGTCCTGCACCATGCTTGTGATTGAGGTAGGAGCCCTTGCGTCACTAGCATGTGAGGAGAGTCTGTGAATTCAGACTGCTTGCCAGTGCTATGGCTGACCTGACCCGGGAGGACAGGACAGGAGTGGAGGGTGGGGGACCAGCTGATGGAGGGCAGAAGGGAGCAAACAGGAGAGCTGGGTGAGTAAGAGGGAGGGGACCATGGAGAGCCGGAAGGAGGAAGGAACCAGCCTAGAAGGAAATGGGCAATCACAGGTCAAGAGTCTGCCCTGCCCAGAACCCCTTCTATGGGTGGTTTGGGAGGCTCCCTAGGCCCCTCTGCCTAGGCCCTCTCTGACTTGCTTTATTTATGTTCCTGTTCCCAGGAGGCAGCTGGCACAGAGCAAGGCTAAAGGGGTGGTGCTCCCCCCGCCTTTTTTTTTTTTTTTTGCCCAAAGCTATTTCAAAGGGAGTGTCCTAGCAGGGCACACACAGTGATTAAGGGGGAGGGAGGCATGACACCGACTGTCCACTACAGGACCCAGAGGGTAGACTGGACATTGGCTAGCTCTCCTCCTGCATCTTGGCTGTAAATTCAGTGTCCCTGGCACCACCCTCTGGCCTTCCCAGACACTCCTTTCAGAGCTGACTGGAGTCCTGTGAGGAAGGGTTGGTTGGTCTAGGCTGGGCCTCCCCTCTTTTACCCCTTCCCACATCGGCCTCCCTGTATCCCTTGCCCACACCATCTTTACATACCCCTGCTTCAGTTGACTTAAAAAAAAATGTTCCAGGGCTCCTCCGCTCTTCTCCAAAAAGCAGCCCCTACCCTGCACTGAAGGTGTGTCCGTGAACTGGCTTTACCCCATGGGCCCCCAGCTGGTGTTTGACCCACTAGCAGGACCCTCTGAGCCAGGCCAGCCATCTGCTTGCCCAGGACAGAACTCCACCTCCAGTCTTCACTCCCCAACATTCCTCCCACATGCTCTCCTCACAGCTGCATAAACTTCTGGCCTGCCTGTGCACATAAGCCTGCCTCCCAGCCGCCGTGGTCCCTTGGCACTCTGTAGAAGTCACACCCTGTCCCTTAGGGGGATGGTGTCTTGCTCACTTTGCCCCACACTCTCCCATCCCCCACCTGGTGCTTTATCTGCCCAAGAGTGGTCCCCACTGCACTCTCCCGAAAATCCTTTGGGTGCATACACAACAGGCGTTTCTGGATGGGTACCAACTCCATCAGGATCTGGCCTCGGCCCATTTACCTGCCCAGGACTGGGAGTGGAGCGCAGTTCCTCTGGTTATATATTTATATAACCAGAGACTTTGTGGGAAAGCTTTTCATTCTTTGGTTTTCTTCCTGGAGTATGTCCTCTTGATGATGATAAACCCATTTGTTCTTGGAGACTAGCTGCCTGCTCTGAAGATGTGCCCCCTTCCTCCCTAGTCACCCAATTCATTATTCCACACTAGCCACTCTCCCCTCACACCACCCCCTGCTTGGAGAAGCTGACAAGTTCATCCCAGGATATATGGGAACCCATGCCTCAAGCACTCTGGGTTTTGCCAAAACAGAGAGACCCTTTCTATATGCCTGCCAGAATGGGTTCTGCACAGAACACACTCCAAGAAGACATGAATTTAACATGATTTCAGGCAGGAGTGACCTGATGACAGTCATATTTTGATGGGAACATCTTGGGTGGGAGGGGGTTGGTTCTGCAGCCCCAGTGCTAATTTTTTGTGGGTTACTGTAGCTTGGCTGCAGGACACGCTAAGGTTTCTGGCCTGCCTCTGGAAGAGTGACGTAGAAGGCCAGGCATCCCAGGGTCTCCTGTGGTTTGTGGCACATGGGACATCTGGTCAATAAGGGATCCCTCCCTTGCTTCCCGCCTCCCTCCTTCCTGAGAACAGCCAGCTGTTCAAGAGTTAATAGCCATTTCCCCCAGGTGACCAGACAGCTCCAGGGGAAGGAGCCCTGAGGAGTCAGTCAGCCAGAGCCTCCCAGATGTCAGTTTACAAAAAGGGTGTGGCGTGGCAGGCTGGGGAGAGGGTGCTGGGCCACACCTCTGTGATGGTGGCTGACCTACCCCAAGTGGGACTGCACTGAGTTAAACTGTGAAGTGAGCATTTGTTGATGGTGAGAAGAGATAGTGGTGCCCCTTCCTTAGATCTCATGACCCAGCCCAGGCCAGGCCTCAGAGCTTACCACTGGCACCTCTTTTTTTTTTTTTTGGTTTGAGTGATTGCTGTACAGTGTTTGATTTGGTTAAGTTACAATCACGACCCTTTAAGGAGAAAACATATAATTCTAGTAATTTTATTGGGCTCAGGTTTCAGGCAAATGGAAACAAAATTGCCTCTAAAAATAAAACACAGACACAGAGAATTGAATAAAACAATAATAATAAAATGCCTCCCTTGCCTGGAGATAAGTGGTAAAGCTTTTTGTGAAATATTAGAGAAAAGGTGGGGGTGGGGGTGGGAGACTTGGGAGAAGAGGGGGGAAGAAAACTCCACCGCCCTTACTTTCATTTCTGTTTTACCTTCCCCAAAGGGTTGATGTACGTATTCTAAAGAAATGCAGAAAACGCCACTGGAGCGATTGGTCATTGTCCCACGTTTAACAGTACAGGTGGACGAAAGGGGCTGGCTGCCAAATACTTCTGCTTGGAGGGAGGGGTGGGAGTGCTCGCTCCAAACCACTCCTGGAATGGCTTAACTCGCCCAGCGCGAATCAATGACAACCTCTCCCCGACAGCGGCAGGCTCCCGGAGCAGCGCTGCCGTGCGGACTCCCAGCCTCGGACCCTGGTGGAGCTCAGAACACGGCCCGGGCAGGAGCGCGACGTCCCCGGGGCGGCCAGGTGGGTCTGCAGAGGCCTTGGCCGGGGATGGGGATGTGATCCGGGCTCCGGAGCGCAGGGACCGCGGGGAGGAGGCGGGACGAAGCCCGGCTGAAAGCCCCGGGGAGCTCGGCAGGAGGCTGGCTCGGCAGGGACCCGGTAGCCCGGCTGGCGCCTCCGGGCACCGAGCTCCTGCCGGCACTGGCAGGCGGCGCAGCGAAGTCGTTTCTCAGCCCAGCTTTGCCGAATGGGGGTGCGAAGGTGGGGGCCCAACCTGGGACAGAACCTGGAACTCTGTGAAAACACCGCCGCCTCCCCTCCTGGCAGCCTCCTTTTGAGACGGCTAAAGGCGGTCGCCGACAAATAGGACCAGTTTAAACTGCACACCCCGCGTCCCGGGTTTTAAAAAAAAAAAAGCGAGTTGGTCTGCCCGACTATCAGATGCAAAACTTAAGGAATAAAACCATGGCAATTTGGCAGAACTCTTGGTCCTTAGACATGAGCAGAAAAATAGAGGGGGATCCACAGACGTCCTTAAGCGTACTGGAGGGAGTACTATCAGGGACCTGCAGCTTGAATCTGGAGCTGAAGGGGTGGAAGCATTCCATCCTGAGTGGACAGATGGTGAAAACTCTCTGGTCTAGTGAGTCAAGCTGGGGTCTTGCAGCTCTGGCGGTGTGGTAACCTGGTGCGGGGAGCGCAGGGAAATCTACTCCTAAGTCCCTTGTCGTCGTCCTCCCTCCCCGGCCACCTTCTATCTGGCCTCTGTCGCCCTTGTAATGCCTGAATTCTCTCGGGACTTGGCTTAGGCAGGATGCAAGAAAGAGTGGCCCACCACCCAGCCCAGCCCTGCTTGGAGCTTCTCGGTGCAAGTCCTGTAGTCTTCATGGCTCCCTGGGTATCAGACTCCCATCCTGGCTTCTACTGCCTGGGCCCTTGGCTGCCTGGTGGACAGGCAGGGGGCAGCTGCCCTCTTGGCTTAGCAGCTGGTCCTGGCTCTGTGCAGTTCCGCTGCTGGCTAGGGCGATGCCACTTCCAACCTCTTTGACTGCGGAATTTTTAAAACGTAAAGGAAGTGATCAAAGCAGCTAGGCAGTTTTCTCCAGATTAGATAGATTTTTGGAAGGGGCGGGAGGATGGAAGTGGATGGATGTTGTGGTGGAGATGCATGAGGGACGAACTTGAAAAGGTCCCAGTTTGAACTCCACTCCTCCCTGTTTTCACTGATTAAGCTCTCAGGAGCCCCCTCTGGATGGAGTTCCAGGAATTAAAAGCAGCCTGGGTACTGCCACCATGACCCCTTAAAGCCCACAGTGAGCTGAGTGGAGGACAGAAAGCCACTCTTCAAAGAGCTCTTTCTCTCGAGTTGGGTATGGCATCCCTATGGCGCTATTCCCTAAGCTCCCCCAAACCACCACCACCAACCCTATCCATTCCATTCTCCCAAATCACACCCGAGACAGCAGAGGAGTCCAGGGTCCCTTACTCAGAACAGTGGGCATGGGTACCAGCCAGGTCCTGTAGACACCACCCTCCCACCATGGAGGTGGCACACTCGGTATAAGTGGTAGACAGGGGGCACACTTGTGTGGCTCTAAGAGAAACCCAGAGAAGGGAGGGCTCTTCACTGACTGCCAGGGGAATTAAGGAAAGACTTCAAAGAGCAGACTGCATGGGGGCAGGGACTGGAGGAAGGGCCTAGAAAGCAAAGGCCTGCAGGTTGCAGAGCAGGAGCCTTGACCTGCCTGCTCAGGTTCGGCGTTGAAGATAAAGCAGAGACTGGAGGCCAAAGGAAGAGGTGGAGCCCAGAGACACGGTGTGCCAGAGATCACTTGTCTACATTTTCTCTTGTGCTCCACCCCCCCCATTGCACTGGGTTGGAATCATTAGTTCCACTTTACAGATGGAGAAATTAAGGCTCATAAGGGTCAAGTAAGCCATCCATGAGCCAGAATTCAGAGCTACCTGTCCTATCCTCTGTTTTAGAATCTTGTGCCATCACTGAGGAGATTGTTTCAGTTACAGTATAATATAAAATAGTATGTAAACGTTACAGATAGAATTAATTTTTTTAAAAACTAGATCCTTTTCCAGTCAGGTCAATTCAAAAGCTGTTGTATTGTGTCTTGAATGGTGCTGGGCACTATGATAAATTCTGAGCATCCCTCAGTAAACGAAATCAGCCAGGCCCTGACCTCCGCCAGTGGGAGTAGTAACAGGAATGCCCAGCTCTCCCTGGGAATTGGTTAACTAAGTAAGGCCGTGGGTGGGGAGATGTCATAGGAGGCCTGGGTGAAGAGGAGGGATGGGAGAAGGCAGGGAGGAAGGTGGTAATAGGAGCTGGACTAACAACTGTCCCCGTGCTGCAGTCGCAAGTGCTTGTCTCTGGCCCAAAGAGTGCACACGGCACGGTCAGTCACTGCCCTGAATGCCCAGGAAGATGGTGAGCCCCTGCTGTTTGTCTGGTTTCAGGGTTATGGTTGTAGGTTCTGGAAGGAACCTGTAGTTTTGGCACATTACCACTACAGACGCAGAAGCAGCCCTGTGCAACTCCTGAGAGGACTGGCCTCTCTCTGGAGCAGTGCCAGGTTGGCTAAGAACACTCCTGACATACCAGTCACGTTCAGCAATAGCCGGGATGGCATACCCCACACTCTCAGGGCTCACATACTGCATAAAGCCCTTGACCTCATTGTAAGACATGAGCTTGCCCACCGTCACAGGACTTGGTAACAGAACTAGTCCCTGCCTGGGAGTAGCTTACACTAGCCTACCATGGAGGTTTATGGGCTCAACTGAAGAGATCCCTGCATCAGCTGTATTTCTGATGTTCTGCCCTCTTTGTTAGCTGACCGGACATATCTGTCCTAATAGAATGATAGCATACATGTTTCAGGATCTGGTTTGTTGACTCTCCTTCCATCTCAAATGGCATGATAACGACCTCTAACATTAACTGTCACTTCTGGGAGGGCCACAAGAAGATAGATATCATAGCTCCTGCCTGGCTAAGCAATGCTCTGGGATCTTGCCTCTGTGGAATTCACGGCACTCTGGCCAGATTGATAGTTGCTTTTTCTTTCTTCTTCTTTTTCCTAAGGTGGGAAAAAGTATCTGAGCTTGAGGTTACTGGATCAGATTGCATTCTGTTTTCATAGCCCACCGTCAGAATATAGCATTTTCTTCCTAATACCTAGATGGTTGGCTCAATGAGGGAGACTTGCACCCGGCTGGCTGTCCTGTGTTTACAGCAATTACACAGGTGTATAATTGCACAGGGATGTTTGTTGGCTCAGCCCTGCTCAGCCGTGCAGCCCCACAGGTTGGGCCAGGGAGAGGGCTGTTCAGTTTGTTTTCCTTTGGCTGGGAACTGAGGAGATGAATAGAGGGAGGGGAATTGGGTTGAGAGATTGTTGCCAAGAGCAATTTGGAGTCTCCTTCATATTAGTCAGAGATGTGTTTTCCTTTCTGAAACCACCACATAGCAACTTCCACGAAGGGCGTTCGCCCTCTCCCTCTCCCCCCCCCCCTGTTAGCTTTTGTTTTGATTTTTAACTTGCTAGACTTCTCATGACTAAGCAAAAAAGAAAACAGAAGAAAAGAGAAGGAAAGCAGCTTGGAGGATAGAGTGATGAAACCAGCCTTTGATAGTGTACATTCTGTGTGTCATTGCTTAATAAATTTGAATACTGATCAGCCCCGATGTACTATGAAGGAGTGCAATGAGTAATTCCTTTGAAGAGAGAATTGATCTTTGTGGGTGACATTTTGGGATTGAAGCAAGATTTCTGTATCCTTCTGTGGGTCTTGACCTGGACTTAGATAAGGAGGAATTCTGTCTACCTTTGCTTTTGCTCCATTTGGAAGGTCTCTCCGTCTGGACCTGGTGTGGATCTGTCTGAGTTCACCTTTCTACCCTACCCTCACTGTGTGCCTCTCCCTTCCACACATGACACGGAGCAGGGGTCAAGGAAGGAAGCTTGCCCAGCCACAGCCTGCTGGTACTAGGACAGGTACTGAGGGCAGACAGTAACCCAGTAGTCAATAATGGATCCATTCACAGAACAAATAGAGTAGAAGAGCTCTGAAATTCCAAACTTGAAAGTAGCCCAGGAAGGTGTGCAATCTTTGTGAGCTTCAACAAGTTACATACAAACTAAATGCAGCCAAACATGTGACCTTCCCAGTGATATCATGTGACTTGCCTTGACCTTCAGCAATGTCTGTGCTGCCTACACATGTGTGGGAATTTACACATATATGACTCTCACTTTAGCCTGATGAACCATCATGCTGAGTTTCTGACAGATGATTCTACTCAGTTATCTAGAGATAACCAATCACCCCAGTGATCTTTGTAAAGCTACTAGTACAGGCCACTGCAGAAGGGACAGTGGGCCCAGCTCCTGTTGCTTCTTGCCTTCCTATGACATGAAAGAAGTATAGCAGAGGCCACCTATAGGAGGCAGAAAGGAAATAAGCATTTTTTCAAGGATTGTTTTGCTTTAGACTTGTGGGTGATGTTGTCAATGGGCTTGTCTGGGTTTTAAAGATTCTTGATTATATTTTATATGTATGAGTGTGTTGCCTACATGTGTACCATGTGCGATTTGGTGCCTGCAGACACTCAGAAGAGGGCATCAGATGCCCTAGAGCTAGAGTTAAGATGATGTGCGTCATCATGTGTGTGTCCTGGGAAGCAAACCTGAGCACCTGGGAAGCAAGCAAGAGCAGCTAGTGCTCTTGACTGCTGCACCATCTTTCAGCATGCTGGTATCACGTAGCCCATGCTTGTCTCAACTTCCCTGTGTAGCTGAAGATGTCCTTGAACTCCAGATTCTCCTGCCTCAGCTTTGAAATACTAGGATTACAGGTGTGCTTTTGTTTTTGAATAGTAAGTTCATTAACTTGTAGTTCACGTACATATACTTTACGCACTTAAAGAACACTTAAGGTGTACTGTTCACTGGTCTTTTAGTTTATATAGGGCCATGCAACTATTAACATAATCAATTTTAGAG